GCTTCTTCGAATGATTTTGGATCCTTCTCTTGAACAGCTGCTGCAAAGAACTTGCGATAATTCACAGAAAACTTGTCACAATTTATATAATGTGCTAAAGGGTAAGGCGTATTTGAAGGAGTAATTGAAGACGGAGAGGACGAAGACGAACTATTAGCAAAAACGGAATGCATCACATAATCTCGAAGCTTGACGGATGGAACCTTTTCACGAAATCCCCTACCCAATGGTTCGACACTCTGTTGATGCTCGGTGGACACTTGATGCTGCTCGGCATCTGAAGTAGTACTGATGTGCTGCTCGTGGAACTTTGCGCCCGAAGGATTTCCTGCGAGTAAAGCAGGAACGAAGCCTGGCTTTTTCGCTGCTAACCCCACGCCCGCGGGATTCCCTGTGGGTGAAGTAGTAGTTGGTCGAACATTTTTCCCATCCCAGGTTCGCCTGGGCTCGCAGGTTGCTCCGTGTGAGTGGCTGTGTGCTCCAAGCTTTGGGTAGCCTGCACTTCATTCACGTAACCCACATTCTCATCACCAAAATTCACCTCATGATCATTAAACACTTCATACTCCAAAAAATCCTCATGAACATCATTATTATTGTCACAAACCGTGGACATTATATTCACATCTTCCGAGCTACCAAAAGGAAATACACCCTCCACAAACTTGACATCAAGGGAGATAAAAAAAACTTTCAAATCAAGGTCATACAATTTCCACCCCTTCTTCTCAAAAGGATAACCCATAAAAACACATTTTCTTCTTCGACTAGCAAATTTATCACCATTTGTTTTCTGGTTATGAGCGAAACAAAGACATCCATATATACGAATTGCATCGAATGAGGGTGAATTATTAAACAAAATTTCGAATGGTGTTTTGTTTTGCAACAATGGAGTGGGTGCACAATTAATTAGATGAACGACGGTAAGAACACACTCTCCCCAAAAATAAATAGGCAATTTGGCTTGAAATCTCAAAGCTCTCCCAGCTTCAAGGCCAGGATGTGTTTGTGTTTCTCTCAACCCTCCCATTTTGTTGTGGAGTCCCCACACAATGACACAAGAGGTTTGAAAAATAATACCAGTAGATCCAAAATAATCAAGCAAGCAATTAAATTTAGTACCATTATCACTTTGCACAACTTTAATGGTTTGAGAAAATTTCCTATCAACCATTGCAACAAATGCCAAAAACATTCGAAAAACTTCAGTTTTATCAACCAACAAATAAATCCAAACAGCCCGAAAATAATCATCCACAATAGTAAAAAATAACGAGCTCCACATGACAAAACATGCCGATATGGACCCCACAAATCACAATGTATTTTCTCAAAAATCCTAGAAGCCCTACTATCACTTAATGAAAATTTATCTCTAGGATGTTTAGCACGCATACATACTTCACACCCTTTATCAAGACTATCTTTATTGCTACTAACATGAGTGAGCAACTTAACTACTTTCTCGGAAGGATGACCCATTTGTCGATGCCACAACTCCAAGCTTGAGGTTGCTTCACCAATGCCAACATGATGCACCGAATCCGAATTGCTAAAATAATATAGTCCGTCTCTCATAGCTCCCGTTCCAATCAACTCCTTTGTTTGGTCCTGTATAACACACATATAAGGATTAAATTGGACAAAACAATTAAGCTCATCAGAAAGTTGAGACACTAAAAGCAAATTACAACTCAAATGTGGAACATAGAGAACCCCGGTTAGAGTAATCTTGTTCGACAAACGAATAGAGCTAATTAAAGAAGCCACCACATTGTCCCCGTTAGGTAAACCAACGGGACATTCAAAATTTTGTGCATTAAATAACCATGATTTTTCTCTGGTAACATGATGCGTTGCCCTAGTGTCAATAATCCAAGAAGGAACATCAAACATACAATTCAAGCAATTTTCAAAGACATTGGCATTACCAAACAAACCAGTATTTGCCTTCCATTGTTTGCTTGAAATCACTTGACCTTGAGAAGGACTACTTGCGAAAGGAGCACTCGAACCCAAGATTGCATTTGCAAGCACCGTACCTTGATCACGACCACTTGCGGACTTCCCCCCCCCCCCCCCCCCCTAGCTGCCATCATTGGTATTAGGAGGATACCCATGAAGCTCGAAACACTTCACCTGAATAGGACCCTTTTTCTTGCAATAATTACACACTTTGTCCGACCAACAATTGGAGGTCTCATGACCAATTTTCTTGCATTTAGCATAGACCAAACCTGACCCCTCTCGACCACGACCTGCACCCATACGAACAGCAAAGCCAACAGCCTTAGTAGGCTTTTGGTCATGTTCTTGCTTTGTCGAACAAACTGGTTCTTCTTGCACCATCAATTGATATGCACGATTTAGACTTAGGAGGGATCTTGGGATAAAATATTAGTGCGCAATGATGAATAAAAATCAGAATATAAACCCATCAAAAAATCATGTAATTTAGCTTGCTCTCGTCTAGCTTCATGCAATTGACCGGACATACATTTCGAACAGCATGAACAAGAAATTAATGGCTCATGGTGATCTAAATCTTGCCACAAAGAATGCAATTTCCCATAATAAACAAAAATAGATATAGATTGAGTTTGTTCACACTTAGCAATCGATGATTCTAATTGCTTAATTCTAGGGCCATTGGTTTGAGCAAATCGCTTCCTGAGATGCTCTCATAGTAACCTAGCTTCACAAAATTTAGAAAGCGAAGACCTTACCTCCGGATCGATGGTATTAGAAATCCAGGAGATTAACATTGCGTTGATTTTCACCCAATCGAACTGAGTGCACGGAGGGATAGGTGTCGTGATGGTACCATCCTGAAATTCGAATTTACGCCTAGCTTCCAAAGTGGTTTGCATATTGGCAGCCCAATCATCATAATTATTAGTTTTTAAGTCAGGTAGGAATAGTAAAATCCTCAGGTTGATCTTGCGACCCAAGGCACAACGGAGAATTTGGTTTGATTTCGATAGGAGGGGGCGGCGATGGAGGTGTGTCTTCTCCAACCATTTTTATGTGTTAAAAAAACTTCAACCTGCTCTTGATACCATGAAGAATTAACGAATGAATTGGCTTAATTCTCATTAATGACTTTGAAACCTTATATAATACAAGCTTACCCTAATATGATAGGATTAGGAAACTATCAAATGATATCAATAACTACCAAAAAGATGCTAACAAATATATCTTAAGATTTCCTAAAATATATCCTCAATATAAAACATAATGTGCATACGTAGATAATCATTATATTGTACTATTCTTTGATAACTACCAACATAAACACTACCTCCATTTCTTTTTATTTGCAACAAATAAATTTTTTATGTCTCATATAAAATACCCCTATGTTGCAAATAAATAAATAAATAAATAAACAGAGGTAGTAACAGGAATAAAAAAAAGTAAACACTATTAAAGAGGCCAACATGTTTCATGGCTAAATGTACATTGTAAGTAGACCTAGCAATCCTGACACGACCCAAATGACCCGACTGGCAATCCGAAAATTGACCCGAATTAAAATAACCCTAACAGAACTAACCCAATTCGACCCGAGATGGAGTTGACCTGAATGTGACCTGATGCCTGAAGTGACCCGACTTGAAATTGACCCAAATTCGAAGTGGACCGGACACAATTTTAACCCGAAATGATTCACCCGAAACTCAAAGTGACCCGAATTAATTGACCCGAACAGACCCGAAACTCGAAGTGAGTCAAACTATAATTACTTTATACCCGAAATGACCCAAACCAAAATAATTGGTACCCCAAATAATCTACTACGTAACTAAGTTAGGGCTAATTAGTTATATATATATATATATATATATATATATATATATATATATATATATATATATATATATATATTTTATTTCTCTCTCTAAAATGATGTAATGGATTACATTATAATTATTCATATTGCCACTACTTTGAATTCTCTGCTCTCTCCCCTCTCCCCTCTCCTCTTCCTCTCTTCTAAACCCTAGCCTTCATTGTTGTTTTTTAAAGAGGCTTCCATCGATTTAACCGATAAAAAGCCCTAATTCTTGTTTCTTTAAAAGTTTTTTTTTTAGGTTTATAATAATGCTTCCTCCTTTTGGGAGGAATTTTCTCCCTCGAAAGAAAGGGTTCCTGATCTCCTTCGAAAGACAAGGGTTTTCGACCTCTTTTGAAAGACAAAGTTTATCTCCACTTTTCGGGGTTTAAATTTCTTAGGGTTGAATCCATGATAATAAATCTAATGGATTGTCGTAAAATTATTTTGTTGGGAAAAATTATTCAAAATTGCATGGATTATCAAGCTTTCGAATATAGTCAAATAAACCAGAAGGAAAACATTCTCAAGGCTACAAAGGATCGTTAGATTGTCTCTCCAACAAAGCTGTATTTTTCAGCGATATAAGCGGGTGATGTTCCACACTGCAAGATCTACTCGATGATCGTAGTTTTTATGAATGAAATTTGTATTTGATTCAATATCTTATGTATTTGTTAAAGTCGAATCTCTTTTGTAAATGTCATATGATTTTTTATTAATAATTTTTTCACTATTCAAAAAAAAAAAATATTGCCACTGCTTTCCAAAAATGAATACACTCTAGAAAATAGTAGTGAACCTTGCTAAATGGTCCAATCTAAGGTTTTACTATAAATAGTTGCATAACTTGTATTAAAGTCATCCTTTAATTCCATAACTAGTTTTTGGGTCCGAGCATGCCCCGCATTATTACATAGAACTGATCATTAATATACTTTGTAATTTATGATTCAATCTTCTTGTAATTAAATTTGTTGTTCATATATTGTCATTTTCTACATATTAATATTTTGTATTCAAAAGATTGTATTAAATACCACATAGTTTGGTGGTACAATACTCAATTCTAGTATTAGAGGTGTTATGTTCAAATCTCGTGGAGAACTTTTTTTTATTATTATTTTTTTTATGAGTGCATGACATGCAATAAAAAAAAATGGAAGGAGAGTCACGTGGCGTAATGGGGGGTTTTTAAGTATATTCCACAAGAAGTCTTTAGACAGCAAACAAGTTCCATATTCAATACCAGATGTAATATAGAGTACAAGTTCTTTGGACAATAAACAAGATCCAATATTCAATACCAAATGCAATACGAGTTCTAATAGGCAAAGACAGCAAACAAATTAATATTCTTTAAAAATCATACTACAATACTCCACCTCTAAATTCTCAACATCAAACATGTGATGTTGTTGCAGCCCAATCCACATAAGATCTAAATTCCCGATTCAAACTGACCTGATTCAAACTTGATCCGACAATTAGACCTGAAAGTTGACCCGACTCGAACTGACCAGATGACCCGAACTTGACCCAACTAGAAATTGACTCGACCACTTGACCTGAAAATTGACCCGACTCGAACTGACCAGATGACCCGAACTTGACCCAACTAGAAATTGACTCGACCACTTGACCTGAAAATTGACCCGACCCCGAACTTGATCGACCTAAATATTTGTTGACTTGAAATTAGCCCGACACGAATGACTCGATCCAAACCCGACCTAAATGACTCGAATATTTGTAAGTGAGGTTTACAAAGGTCAGGGTTCACTTAAGCCCTATCGCCTTTTTGGCTTCCAGAGCGAAGCTATAAACTTTGTTCGGGTGGGGCAGTGAACTAGACACACTGTGTCTCTCTTTACATCTTCCAGTCCATGCCATAATTTTGGGACAATTAACCTCAATGCTAAAATTCCCACATGTTTCTAAGACGTTATACCAGCTTGTGATTGGAACTAGTGCAACATCAACGTAACCAAATGTATCACCCCCAAAAAACTTCTCATTTCCAATCACTCCTTGTAATATCTTCAGATTCTCAAGGAAATCCTTTGCTTTATTCTCCTTTTCTTGTCCTTCTGCCATTCGTAATTCTTTGGCACCAACAAATATCTACAATCAACCAATCTTGTTATCAATTTACAAATGTATATAATTCCTCGGCTCCTCCATTCTCAAGGAAAATATATATATATACACTTCATCCGTTTTTCTTTCTTTTTTTTTTTTAATTTTTATTTATTTATTTTTAATCTACCCTTATGCTCAATTTTCACTAGAATTAAAAAGAAAAAGGAGGAAGTTTTAAAATACATTGAAAAGTTAAATTCACATGAAATTAGCAAATTAAAGAGAGAGGGTAGCAGAAATAAATGGAAAAACTAAATTCACATGGGAAATCTAACTTTGCACAAATACTTTTACAAATTGAGGATAAAAAGGGTAATTTAATGCTACCCATAAATGGCAAAAAAAATTAAAATAGGTACATCCATTTAGGTGCACCCAAAATGGTATAAAGGTAAATAATAATAATAATAATAATAAAAAAAAAAAAAAAAAAAAAAAAAGGGACATAGCCACGGAGGGAGTAAATCATGTGAGATTTGTTTGGATTCATTTTAATGGATATTATCAAAATATCAACTTTTTAGAATTTTATTTGTAGATAATTAGATTTATTTTTTAATGAAATCTCACATTGACAAACTTAATAAAAAAAAACTTTCTCCGTTTTTTTTAGTTAACACCATTAATTTAACTTTTACACTATTTACAAAATACATTTTGACTAGCTTTTGTGATATATAGCTACGATATAATATTGTCAAGCGAGATCTTGTTTGAATCGTCTCAATGTATATTTTATTAATATCAACTTTTTATAATTTTACAATGTTGAGAATTAGAGATATTAATCATTAAAATAGTACGTTGGTAAGCGTGATAAAAGAAAGGTATCACCTAAATAAAAATAGAGGTAGTATGTAATCTTATTTAGAAGGAAGGAAGTATAAAAGTATTATATTACCTTAACTTTTTTTTTTTTTTTTGAAAAAGTATTATATTACCTTAACTAAGTGACAAATAAGAGAACAAAATAAAAATGAGAAAGTGTTACCTTCTTGTCAATGAAATCAGCCCAAAATCTAGCTTGTGATCGTTGGTAAGGATCAATCGGAAGCAAAGGAGACGATTCGGCCCAAACATCATCAATATACTCAAGAATCACAAGTGATTCGCAAATGGGTTTACCATTATGGATCAAAACCGGAACTTTCTTATGAATCGGGTTCATCTCAAGAAGCAAAGAACCTTTATTAACCAAATTTTGTGGTTGACAAACATACTCAACTCCCTTCTCGGCTAATGCAACTCTCACTCTCATTGCAAATGGGCTGGCCCAGAAATCAAGTAACACTGTTTCTTCACTCGCCATTATTTTTTTTATTCTTAGCATTTGTGTAGAAAACCAAATTATATTTATAGTGGTTTGTGGAATACGAGTGAAGTCATTGCTTGCGTAGTTCCATCAATTTGTGGCTTGGCAGTTTTATTGACTATCCGTTTTCTTTAAATAAGTCAATTGATAGACCAAGAGAAAAAAGAATAACTTTCTTGCTGGAAAAAAATCGGTTTTGCTTAAAATTTCGATATTATTTACTATTTAAAAACATCTTTTAAATTATTTTCAATATTAAGAATTACTATAAATGTTTTTTAGTGGAGTTATAAGTTTGATCTGTCTCAAATCTCAATGAATGTTATAAGTTTTTCTTTAGAGAGTTAGAGATATAAATAGTCAAAAATGTACATTGACTTATTATACACTAATGTACATAATTAAAGTAGGAGACACAAATAAAAACAGAATAATAATCATGCAACCCACAATTTACTGAAAAATAACGCTGGTGACATTTTGGTAATCTACTACATAATTAAACTCATCTTGCAAAACCCTTATTCTCTACTTTTCTTTTCTTCTTTTTTTTTTTTTTTTTTTTTTTTTTTTTTTTTTTTTTTTTTTTGGGTAAGTAAGCAATTTTATTACTTTCCAAAATCAGTTTACAACTTAGCCCCAAAGGCAAACTATGTAGGCAAAGAGCCCAAATAACTATACAACCAACCTATCTATACATTAAGGCTTTCAAGCCATTCTCTATTATCTACACTTAGTTTTTTTTGCCTCCTAAAGCTAAAAATCTATGCTTTACATCACTTTTGATAAGCTGTACAATGTTGGAAATGTTCATGATTTTCTTCTTCAAATAAGAAATGTTTCGGACCCTCCATATTTGGATCTTACTCTGCTGCAAGCTTTAACCATATTATCAAGCTGAATATTCCGGGGCCCAAACCCAATCTGATCTCTAATATGCTTCCAGATTCTACTATTGTACTTATAGGTAGGGGTGTTAAAAAACCCGACTTGCTTGACCCGACTCGACTACTCGCTGACCTGCAAAATACTCGACAGGTAATTTGATATTTTTTCTACTGTGTTCGGGTCGAGTAACTGACTCGTTAAAATACTCAAGTCATAGGCCGGGTCATGGGCCGCATGATTGCCTTACCGGGTACCCGCCTACCCGAAACCCTTTAATTTTTTGTACAAAATTTCTTAGACTTTTGGCCTTTTGGGCCTTTTGCTATTGTTTGGGTAATGGCCTAATGGAGTAATGGGTAAAAGCAAGGGTAGTAGGTATTGGGTTTCTCATTACTCAATAGTCAGTAAGGTCTGTTTTTTTTCTCTCTACCCACCTCATTATGTGATTTGTTAAACATCGCCCACAAATTACTATATAAAGCCCACAAAATACACTTGGTTTGACACTTTTGCCCATTTGTGAAATCTTACCAAAAACGAAAAATTCTGACATCGAAAAATCAAATCAAAAAAGACACTTGGTTTGAGACTTTTGCCCACTTGTGAAATATTACCAAAAACGAAAAATTCTGACATCGAAAAATCAAATTAAAAAAGACACTTGGTTTGACACTTTTACCCATTTGTGAAATCTTACCAAAAACGAAAAATTCTGACATCGAAAAATCAAATTAAAAAAGACACTTGGTTTGACACTTTTACCCATTTGTGAAATCTTACCAAAAATGAAAAATTATGACATCGAAAAATGTGGAGCCGTACTAGGTCCCCGCGGGAGACCGGAGAACTGAGGGACGCCGAAGAACCGTCGTCTTCGTAGCAAAACGAGGTAAAACATCGTTGTTGTAACGGTATGACGACCGGCGTGAGCATGGACCACCACCGTCATGGTCGGGGCGCCTAGCCAGGATTTCGGTGCCATGGCGGTGGCGCCTGGCTAGGACGCCGGCACCGTGGGAGGGGCGCTTGGCCAGGACGTCGGAACCGTGGTGGTGGCTTCCAGGCTAGGCGCCACTCCCACGGTGCCAGCGTCCTGGCCAGGCGCCACTCCCACCGTGTCGGCGTCCTGACCAGGCGCCACTGCCATGGTGGTGGTCCAACCAGGTGCCACTGCCTTTCTGATTTTATTTTTTTTTGTTTATAAATTTGATGAATTGAAATTGTAAAAAAAAAAGAAAATGTTTTATTTGAAATTATGTTTTAAATATTTGTTAATAAATTTATTTTATTATTTTGTATGTGGAATTTAGATTTTTAATTTTTTTGTTTTTTTTTTATGTTTATAAATTTTTTGTTTATAAATTTGATAAATTTAAATTGTAAAAAAAATGTATAACTTGAAATTATGTTTTATATATTTGTTAATAAATTTATTTTATAATTTTGTATGTGAAAATTAAATTTGTGTCAATAGTTTACAAAATAATTAATTATGTTTTAATTTTGTATGTGTATGAATACTTTTACACATAATTATCTTTTAATTTTGTATGTGTATCAATACTTTTATAAATGATTATGTTTTAATTTTGTATGTGTATGAATACTGTTATACATAATTATGTTTTTAATTTTGTGTTAATTATGTGTAAATATATAAATTAAATGTAATATGCGTTAAATATTGAAATGAAATTACAAATTAAAAATGTAGATATTAATTATGTGTTAATGTTGTGTTAAATGTATTAATTTAAGCTTTACATAATTATATGTATTCAAATATAATATCTAATTGATGTAGGATTATGGTGGAGACGGAAATGATTACAGTGGGATATTTGTACATGATGGTCCTTTCGAAGATGCTCAACGAGCGATTGATTGGGCTAAACTATGTGATGCAGCAGAGGACACCTCACAAGGAAAAGTTTGTCAAATATTGGACAAACCAAGTACTTCATTTTGGAAACACTACAACATGTAGAGTTGAGAGTGCTCATAGAGCTACGAAGGACCAGACTGATTCTTACACCGTTGCTCTGGATACACTGTTCGAGAGAATAAACAAGGCAATTGAAACTCAGAAGAACGGCATTAGGAACTCTCTGGAGGACTCTAGGCGGCGACATGGTACGATGTTTAGCCATTTCATATTTAAGATTCTACATGGGCGTGTGTCACACTACTGCTTGGGGTTGATTCTGACCGAGCACAACAGAATGAGGGAGTTGGCTGATGAAGTGGATGTTCGGTGTGGATGTGCTATATCAGTAACTCATGGATTACCTTGTGCATGCACCATTCACCGCGTAATTACCCAATAGGACGTCGTTACACGTTGATCAGGTTCATCCATTCTGGAGGACGCTCGTTATTGGTGAGCATGCAGATACGCAGACGGTCGACCATGAACAGGAGAAGTTGGAGCAGTTTCGTTCGATTATGACCGAGTGTCCTCTAGTCATCCTTCCATTATTCGTGATGCTACTCACGTACTGCATGACATGTTCAACACGTCTTGCTTAGATCATGAGGAACCTGAAGGGGTCGAGCGACCTAGAGGTCGCCAACGGCGGAACAGGAGTGCGTTTAAGTACATTCGTGGTCGTGGTCGTGGTCGTACATTGTCATCCATTCGTAGCTAGTCTTCTTCGTCTGTGAATATGCTCGGCACTGGTATAATATCTTACTTTAATTTACGTTTTATAATGGTTTTGATTTTATTGCTAACTTGTTCACTATGTTTAACGGTATATTCAACAGGAAGATTTGATATTGACCAGTTTCCATACAAGGATAGGATACCTAACATCATCATGCCATACCTGGACGGGTGGAATGATGTAATTGGAGATGGTAACTGGGGATTGCGGGTCGTGGCTCATGTGTTTCAGGTGGGCAAAGACAACTACGGTTTAGTGCGTCAGTTGATGTACAATGAAATTGCCTCTAACCGAGATGTTTATTGTCATGTGTACCAGGACGGCTTGGATAGTGATCTGCGGTGTATCCGGTGGGGAGGAGGACCTTGCGGTCTAAATAACTATTTCGACGCGCCACTAGATCTCTTTGCCGTTGTAAACATTTACAAGTGCGCAGTAATGCATTTCGGGCTGGGATTGCATAGTCGAGCTTATTATCCTTGTACAACGATTCTCCCTTGGTCTTCGCGTGAGACCGTCACTACACCGGTCAGGGAGTTAGCTATTGCATTTCTTGGGTCGTCATACAAACATTTCATCCGACTAGACCTATCATCCGATTTTCCTGTCCCACCGATCATACCTCGGTGGTACGACATTCGCATAGCAAGCGTAGAGGGTTGGGATGCGCTGTATCATGACCGGATCCATCAATGGAACACCCTAGCAACTTTTTAGTTTTTCTTTTGTACACTCTATGTAACCTTATTTTTGCGTTGCTTATTATCCTCGTATTGTACTGTTGACTACATTTATATCTTGCATGCATACTTTCAAATGTTAAAAACTAAAACGATAATTTCAAATTTAAAAACTAAAACGATAATTTCAAATGTTAAAAACTAAAACGATAATTTTAAATGTTAAAAACTAAAACGATTGTATTAATTTCTGCAAACTACAAAGATAATGTCCTATTTCACAAACTAATTTGATAATGTAAAAAATGTTCAACAAACAAAATGCCAAAAACATCAGTAATCCTTCTTTACCGCCGACTCCCAATGCGCAAGGGTCTGTTCCAACTCATCAACAGCAGCTCTCCCTGCTGCACTCATGTTGTCCTTCTCCAGGGAGAGTTTTTGTACGCCTTGCATTATCTTTCCCATCCACTACACACAACAAAAAAAAGAAACATGAAATTGAATAATGATATATAAAACTTTAACATAACGCAACAATAAATTTTTGTTCAGACATACCGCATCTACGATAGTTGGCGGTGGCATATCATGATCATCGACGTCGTCGCCATGGTCGAGGTCTCTAATCAACCTCGGGTGCGAATACCGGTTGTACCATTCCATGTAGTGCTGGTCACACATGGGAGGCACCCTAGTAGGCGGCCTCTGCAGCTCCGCAGTCCATAAGCGGGCAACCATCGGGAACTGCTCCCACGTGGCAATCATGTTAT